ATCTCTTTCATCATCTGGAAAGGCCTTACTCGCGATCCCACCTGCATCGCAAGCGCGATTGGTGGGAACGAGGGACAGGGCCTTCTCAGTGGTGGCCCCTCAACTCTCGAACTCTCTCCCTAAGGACATCAGGCATGCCCCAACGTTGGCAATTTTTAGGAGGAGCTTGAAAACGTGGTTGTTCCAGTGTGCCTTCCCAGAATAAGGAAACTCCAAGCAATATGTCCCCAAATGCACTTTACTAGAGATTCAGGATATCTGCATGCCCATCCCCCTCCAAATACCTACCCTTTTCACCTGGTCATGCCCAGCATATTTTTAATTTTAACTATTGCATTTGGCCCTGCCATGGAAAATAATGCGTGATGGTGTTTTGTTAATGTTTATTGGTTTTGAGTTCATTTTGTTGTCTTGTTGTTGTTGTGTTTTTACTGATGTATTTGGACTCAGACTCTTGTAAGCTGCACCGAGTCCTCCGGGAGATAGTAGCGGGGTACAAATAAAGGATTATTATTATTATTATTATTATTATTATTATTATTATTATTATGGTCCTCCGCCATCAACTCCGCTGGACCGGCCACGTTGTCCGGATGCCTGACCACCGTCTCCCAAAGCAGTTGCTGTACTCCGAACTCAAGAATGGAAAAAATGTTGGTGGACAGGAAAAGAGATTTAAAGATGGGCTCAAAGCCAACCTTAAAAACTCTGGCATAGACACTGAGAACTGGGAAGCCCTGGCCCTTGAGTGCTCCAGCTGGAGGTCAGCTGTGACCAGCAGTGCTGTAGAATTTGAAGAGGCATGAATGGAGGGTGAAAGAGAGAAATGTGCCAAGAGGAAGGCGTGTCAAGCCAACCCCGAGACCGCCTTCCACCTGGAAACCGATGCCCTCACTGCGGAAGAAGATGCAGGTCAAGAATAGGGCTCCAGTCACCTACGGACCCACCGCCACTATACCAATCTTGGAAGACAACCCTACTCAGACAACGAGGGATTGCCTAGGTAAGTAAGTAAGTAAGAAGTGCATCGAAAATGTAGAATGAATACAGCTTGACCCCAGTTAACTACCCTGGCTCGTTACTTGTGCGCCAGCTGCACCCGTACCTTGGGAAGTCTGACTTGGCCACAGTGGTCCACGCTTTGGTTACATCCTGTCTAGATTACTGCAACGCTCTCTACATGGGGCTGCCTCTGAAGACTGCCCGGAAGCTGCAGCTAGTCCAACGCTCGGCAGCCAGATTTCTAACGGGGGCTGGGTACAGGGAGCATACAACCCCTCTGTTACGCCAGCTCCACTGGCTGCTGATTAGCTTCCGAGCACAATTCAAAGTGCTGGTTTTGACCTACAAAGCCCTAAATGACTCTGGCCCTGTTTACCTGTCTGAACGGATTCTCCCCTATGAACCATCAAGGTCTTTAAGATCTTCCGGGAGGGGGGCTGCTCTCGATCCCACCACTGTCACAATCGTGGTTGGTGGGGACGAGAGACAGGGCCTTCTTGATGGTGGCTCCCAGGCTGTGGAACTCCCTCCCACAGGAGATTAGAACTGCCCCCTCCCTCCTGACGTTCAGGAAGCTAACAAAGACTTGGCTATGGAATGCGGCCTTTGACAACTGAGTCAACTTTGGTCCACATGGAAGGAGAATGAATAACTGTGAATTATGACCAGGAATGCTTTGACGACGTGGCTATGTGATTGTGATGATGACGATGTTGTATTGTAATATGTTTTTAATTGTGTAATGATGATGCATTGTGTGGTTTGTATTTTTGTATATAAACACATGTTGTGAACCGGATCTGAGTCCCTCTTGGAGGTGAGAAGATCGGTATAGAAAAATTTTAAATAAATAAATAAATACTATAGAATCCTTGGGAATTGTAGTTTGGTGACGCACCAGCACTCTTTGGCAGAAACTACAACTTCCATGATTCCATAGCACTTAGCATTGACAGTTAAAGCAGTGTCAAAACTGCATCAATTTGACAGTATACACGCACCCTTACTTATATTTTTGTGTGTCTTTGCATCAGTTCTGGTTTCACTAATATGAAAGGCGCCCCAAGTCACATTATAGTGGAAAAGGCTGGCTATAATTGGAAATAAGAATAATTTAGTTCACGTGTTTCTAAAATTATAGCCTTAAAGTGGTTTCAACCGTTGCTTTTGAAGTGGTTTTAGTTAGCGCTGTGTTTAATATGTTTTTATATTGCGGAAATTATTTATGGCTTCAATCTGGAAGTGTTTTAAATTGTGTGTTTTGTATGCCACCCTCTGACAAAGGTCATAACAGGAGTGTTTTAATGAATGGATGATTAAATGTTGCTGCTCTCGTTATTGTTGTTGTTGTTATCCAAAACTGAGTTTGGGACTTGCGTGTCTGTAACAGGACTGAGAAGTTCTGCAACATTTGTACATTTGCAAGAGGCTGTGTCTGCACCGTAGAAATAATGCAGTTTGACAGCACTTGAACTACCCTGGCTCAATTATATGGAATCCTGGCATTTATAGTTTGGTGATTATGCCACCAACTTCATCCTCTCCGTTACTGTGCATCTATATTGGCAATTTAATGATGTTTTACACCACTTTATCTGCTATCGCTTTCGGCCACTCTGATGGCCGAAAGCGAGGAGGAGCTGAGGAGCCTTCTAATCAAGGTGAAAGAAGAAAGCGCAAAAGCTGGGTTGCAGCTAAACGTCAAAAAAAACCAAGATTATGGCAACAAGAATGATTGACAACTGGAAAATAGAGGGACAAACCGTGGAGGCCGTGACAGACTTTGTATTTCTAGGTGCAAAGATTACTGCAGATGCAGACTGTAGCCAGGAAATCAGAAGACGCTTACTTCTTGGGAGGAGAGCAATGTCCAATCTCGATAAAATAGTAAAGAGTAGAGACATCAGACTGGCAACAAATCCATTGCCTAGTCAAAGCCATGGTATTCCCTGTAGTCACCTACGGATGTGAGAGCTGGACCTTAGGGAAGGCTGAGCGAAGGAAGAGAGATGCTTTTGAGCTGTGGTGTTGGAGGAAAGTTCTGAGAGTGCCTTGGACTGCGAGAAGATCCAACCAGTCCATCCTCCGGGAAATAAAGCCCGACTGCTCACTGGAGGGAAGGAGACTAGAGACAAAGTTGAAGTACTTTGGCCACATCATGAGGAGACAGCAAAGCCCGGAGAAGACAATTATGCTGGGGAAAGTGGAAGGCAAAAGGAAGAGGGGCCGACCAAGGGCAAGATGGATGGATGGCATCCTTGAAGTGACTGGACTGACCTTGAAGGAGCTGGGGGTGGTGACGGCCGACAGGGAGCTCTGGCGTGGCTGGTCCATGAGGTCACGAAGAGTCGGAGACGACTGAACGAATGAACAACAAATCTGCTAATCACAAAGGACAACCATCTCACCCGCCTCATAGGAAACCTGCTACAAAACAGGAGCTTTTTTGTTGAGTGCCAAGGCCAGAGAAGCAGATGGCGGAAACAGAAGAACGGCCTGCCTCAGGGGAGCGTGCTCGCTCCATCAATGTTCAACATTTACACAAATGACCAGCCACTGCCAGAAGGGACAGAGAGTTTCATCTATGCTGATGATCGTGCCATCACCGCTCAAGCAGGGAGCTTTGAGATGGTTGAACAGAAGCTCTTCGAAGCTCTAGGTGCTCTTACTGCCTATTACAGGGAAAACCAGCTGATCCCTAAAACACAGACATGTGCTTTTCATCTCAAGAACAGAGAAGCACCCCAAGCTCTGAGGATGACCTGGGAAGGAAGGAATCCCACTGGAGCATTGCAGCGCACCCAAATACCTGGGAGTCACTCTGGACCGTGCTCTGACCTACAAGAAGCACTGCCTGAACATCAAGCAAAAAGTGGGCTAGAAACAATATCATACGAAAGCTGACTGGCACAACCTGGGGATCACAACCAGATACAGTGAAGACATCTGCCCTTGCGCTATGCTACTCTGCTGCTGAGTATGCATGCCCAGTGTGGAACACATCTCACCACACTAAAACAGTGGATGTGGCTTTTAATGAGACATGCCGCATTATCACAGGGTGTCTGCGCCCTGCCTATAGCAATTACACTGCTTAGCCGGTATTGCACCACCTGACATCCGGGAAGTAGCAGCCAATAGTGAAAGGACCAAGGCAGAGACATCTCCAGCTCATCCCCTGTTTGGGTATCAGCCAGCACGTCAACGACTTAAATCAAGACATAGTTTTCTTAGATCTACAGAGACACTCGCTGGAACACCTCAGAAAGCGAGAGTCCAAAAGTGGCAGGCTCAAACCCAGCACCTCAATCCGTGGGTGATACCAGATGAGAGACTCCCCCCTGGGCACACAGAAGACTGGGGGACTTGGAAGGCGCTGAACAGACTGCGCTCTGGCACCACGAGATGCAGAGCCAACCTCAAGAAATGGGGCTACAAAGTGGAATCCACGACATGTGAGTGTGGAGAAGAGCAAACCACTGACCACCTGCTGCAATGCAACCTGAGCCCTGCTACATGCACAATGGAGGACCTTCTTGCAGCAACACCAGAGGCACTCCAAGTGGCCAGATTCTGGTCAAAGGACATTTAATCAACTACCAAGCTTGCAAAATTTGTGTTTCTTTATCTGTTTGTTTGTTTTGTTCTGTTAGAAATGTAATACAATGGTCTGGTTGCGGATGACACGATAAATAAATAAAATCTGCTATGGCTTGATGTTATGGCACCCTGGGAGTTGTAGTTTTCCAAAGTCTTTATCTTTCGCTTCCAAAGAGGGCTGGTGCCTCACTAAACTGCAGTTCCCAGGTTTCCATAGCATTGATCCGTGGCATTTCAAGTGGTGCAAATATAGAATCCTGGCCATGGTGATGATGGTGTTTATTCCTATTGGATTCGGTGTCAGCAAAGGTATATGCAGAGAAGCACAGGTTCCCTATTCTGGAGCATACAAACCACCATACACATTGTGGAGGATCAAGAGCGTGGGGTCTACTTACAATATAGCAGGGCTCGCAGTAGGCTTTCTTCTCCACGGCATAGAAGGGCTGGCCTCGGAGGTTGTTGTTGCAGGTCATGCAGGTGAAGCACTCCACATGGAAGACCTGGTCCATTGCGGTGCATCCGGTCCCTTCTCCGACAACGTTCTCCCCGCAACGTGCACAGCGTCCTGGGAAAAAGAGGAGAGGAGACACAGGAAACCATGAGCCAGGCCATCCCGGAGTTAGAAAAGGGACCTCCAAAGGCCATCTAGTCGAAGCCCCTTCTGCCTGACAGGAAGACACCAACCAAACCCTCCCAACAGATGGCTGTCCAGCCCCTGCTTCAAAAGATCCAGAGAAGGAGATTCCATTCGATTCCCACACATTTTTATAGTGAACCCATGACATTCAAAGGGGTTTCTTAAGAACCTTCTACACTGCCATATAAAATCCAGATTATCTGATTTAAACTGGATTATATGGCAGTGTAGACTCATATATTCTGATGTGCTATGTTATGTATATTTATGTTTAATTCTTGGTTATTTTTCAGTTGTTTTATAATGTTATACTAGCTGTCCCCTGCCAGGCGTTGCTGTGGCCCAGTCTGTTGATCTGGAAAATAAATAATGAGAAAGTGTTGGTTTCTAACATATGTAATTTTTTTATGCTTGTGGGCAAACAGTATTTCTTGCTGTTTCTTTGTCAGTGTTGATGTGGAGAGTGTCTGGTTTGCCTACTCTGGAACATGTAACATATCATTGTCCTTCTTTAAGGTTCCCTTTCAAATCTATGATACTATATCTCTCTGTGTGTGAATCATATCTATCTATCTATCTATCTATGGCTGGATGGCTCTTTGTCAGAAGGACTTTGATTACATTTTCTTGCCCTGATGAACGAGTTGGATTGGATGGCCTTAAGTATTTTCTGTTGGTCATGGGGGTTCTGTGTAGGAAGTTTGTCCCGATTCTGTTGTTCATGGGTTCAGAATGCTCTTTGATTGTAGGTTAACTGTGAATCCCAGTGACTACAACTCCCAAATGTCAAGGTCTATTTTCCCCAAACGCCATCTGTGTTCATATTTGGACGTATTGGGTGCTTGTGCCAAATTTGGTCCAGATCCATCATTGTTTGAGTCCACAGTGCTCTCTGGATGTAGGTGAACTACAACTCCCAAAACTCAAGGTCAATGCCCACCAAACCCTTCCAGTATTTTCTGTTGGTCATGGGAGTTCTGTGTGCCAAGTTTGGTTCAATTCCATCATTGGTGGGGTTCAGAATGCTCTTTGATTGTAGGCAAACTATAAATCCAAGCAACTACAACTCCCAAATGGCACAGAACATATATATATATTAAGACTGTTTTATCCACTATTTTGATTTGTTATTTGTTTGCTTTCAGCACTGAATGTTTGCCATTTTGTTACTTCTACTGGGAACTGCAGGTTATAAAAATATTATTATTATTTTACTGGCACAAAACACAGTATGTCACAGCAATCAATCTATCTATCTATCTATCTATCTATCTATCTATCTATCTATCTATCTATTTAAAAGGCCTGTTCAACGCATGGTTCTAAATGGTTCTAAAGTACTTAAAAAACTAAAGTTCTGGTGGTGAAAATATCAGAACTCTAACAAAACTCTCAAAATTTCATTATAAATGGCAGTTCCTAATTGGTTCTGTCATAAAAATCGCCAATAATGAAATAATAATTAAATTTTGGAAGAGTTCTGAAATGTTCACCACCAGAACTTTAGTTTTGTAAGTACTTTAGAACCATTTAGAACAGTGGTTCTCAACCTTCCTAACGCCGCGACCCCTTAATACAGTTCCTCATGTTGTGGTGACCCCCAACCCTAAAATTATTTTCGTTACTACTTCACAACTGTAATTTTGCTCCTGTTATGAATCGTCATGCAAATATCTGGTAGGAAGGATGTATTTTCATTCTCTGGACCTTGGGAGTTGTAGTTGCTGGGATTTATAGTTCACCTACAATCAAAGAGCATTCTGAACTCCACCAGAGATGGAATTGACCCAAACTTGGCACACAGAACGCCCATGACCAACAAAAAATAATGAAAGGGTTAAGTGAGCATTGGCCTTGAGCTTGGGAGTTGTAGTTCACCTATCTCCAGAAAGCACTGTGGACTCAAACAATGATAGATCTGGACTAAACTTGGCACGGATACTCAATATGCTCAAATGTGAACACTGTTGGAGTTTGGGGAAAATAGACCTTGACATTTGGGAGTTGTAGTTGCTGGGATTTATAGTTCACCTACAATCAGAGTATTCTGAACCTCACCAACGATGGAATTGGGCCAGACTTCTCACACAGAACTCCCATAACCAACAGAAAATACTGTGTATCATGATGGTCTTTGGCGACCCCTCCGACACCCCCTCGCGGCCCCCCCAGGGGTCCCGACCCCCAGGTTGAGAAACACTGATTTAGAACCATGCATCATCATCATCATCATCATCATCATCATCATCATCATCATCACCATCATCATCATCACCATCATCATATAATCCAGCCCAAAACAGAAAGGAAGAGACCATGAAAATGAACAAAATCTGGCTACCAGTATTAAAAAACTCTAAAATTACAACAGCAAAACAACAGAGAGGAAACAACCAGGCACACCTTAACACCTCTCAGCAAGAGATTTTCCCAGGCTCAGCCAGGCCTTCAAATGCTAATGAAGGTGGTTAGTTGAAACATTCACACCTAGCTCCAGCAGAGAAGAGCTCTTTGCCCCACCCCAGCCATTCCACAGATATATAAACCCATTGTCCTAATTCCAACAGACCTCACTACCTCTGTGGATGCTTGCCATAGATGCAGGCGAAACGTCAGGAGAAATGCCTCTAGAACATGGCTCTATAGCCCGAAAAAACCCACAAGAACCTAGTCACGTAACATTGAGCCAAAGTGGTTAAAGAGGTGTCAAACTATATTAATTCTTTAGCGTAGATGCACCATTTGGTCGCGGAAGTTTAAGGCATAACTAGCAAAAGCAGAAAGGCCTTTTAATGGCATGTATTGTACTTTTTATAGATATTGGCCAAATGCTACTCCACTGTTTTAAATTAGTGTCATTTTTAATGGGGATAGTTCATTTAACGGTTTTTCTTAAATCAATTTATACTATTACAACTGGGGTTTTTTTAAAGCTGTATTTCCCATTAATCTACATAGTGTGCAGCTTCAAAGGCCACATTGGATGAAAGGTGAGAAATACATTAAATATAGTACTCATCGCAGAGCACCTGCATGGTGTAATGCCTTGGGTGTTAGATGATGACTGTGGAGACGAGGGTTCAAATCCCAGCTCAACAATGGAAACCCATTAGGCAAGTCACACTCTCTCAGCCTCAGGAGAAGGAAAAAGGCGAATCCTCTCCGAACAAATCTTGCCAAGCAAAGTGTCGCACACCAAGGCTGGAAGCACACCTTTGAATCCACAAACACTCCCAAGTTCTTTAGCAAATAAACAGTTTATTGAATAAATGCAAGCAGTATCGAAAAAGGTGAAAAAGGCAAATGAACAATTATGTAAGAAAGTCTAAAAACAATCCAACCCAGCAGGTAAGCAAATATAATCCTTCAAAGAGAGCAGTGTAGATAGATGTTGTTGTAGGTTTTTTGAGGCTATATGGCCATGTTCTAGAGGCATTTTCTCCTGACGTTTCGCCTGCATCTATGGCAAGCATCCTCAGAGGTAGTGAGGTCTGTTGGAATTAGGAAAATGGGTTTATATATCTGTGGAATGACTGGGGTGGGGCAAAGAGCTCTTCTCTGCTGGAGCTAGGTGTGAATGTTTCAGCTGACCACCTTCATTAGCATTTGAAGTCCTGGCTGAGCCTGGAATGCAGAGTCCTTAAAACCCACAAGGATAAAGTCCCAAGTCTCTTGAAAAACCAGGAAACAAGATCCACAGGAGAATTACACAGGAAAACATTCACCAACAGCAACTTGAACATGAGTCTTGAGCAGAGAGTTCCATGAATCTTGACATGACATGCATACAAGACTTGACCGGTAACCGATGTTGCGCTCACTGAAGGCAATGCTGTGAAAGCCCTCTATTTATTCAAAAAGACCTACACAAAATGCATTCCGAGTAAACCCAAATGTTTATTATTATTATTATTATTATTATTATTATTATTATTATTATTACTTTATTTGTACCCCGCTAGCATCTCCCGAAGGACTCGATGCGGCTTACATAGGCCAAGGCCTCAAAACACAATACAACAAATACACATAATGATATGTAATTTATTTCGGGGTTCTTTTACCCCGCCCTTCTCACCCCGAAGGGGACTCAGGGCGGCGTACAAAAACAAAGGCACAATTTGATGCCTACATCACAGAACAATCAACAAAAAATTACATCAATTCACAGGTTATAAACAGTAACAACGGTTCAAGTATTATACCCATAAAATCAATAAAATCAATAAAACAATACAAACCCAATACCTCCTCCTACATGGTCAGCGTTCGCTAACTCATAGTTCTAATTTTCGTTCCACTTCATCAGTCCTGTTGGTCTTATTCGCCTGAATGTTTTATTTAATTGCCAGAGTGCCCAAAGGCCTGGTCCCAAAGCCACGTCTTCACCCTCCTCCTGAAGGAGAGGAGGGATGATGATGTCCTGATTTCCCCCGGGAGTGAGTTCCACAGGTGAGGGGCCACCACTGAGAAAGCCCTGCTTCTCGTCCCCACCAGCCTCACTTGTGACAATGGTGGGGTCGAGAGCAGGGCCTCCCCAGATGATCTCAGACTCCGGGGTGGGACGTAGAGGGAGATACGTTCGGACAGATACACTGGACCGGAACCGTACAGGGTTTTGTAGGTCAAAACCAGCACCTTGAATTGTGCTCGGAACTGAACCGGCAGCCAGTGGAGCTGGCACAGCAGGGGGGTGGTATGCTCCCTGTATGTCGCTCCGGTGAGCAGTCTGGCTGCCACTCGCTGGACTAGTTGAAGTTTCCGAACAGTCTTCAAGGGCAACCCCACGTAGAGAGCGTTGCAGTAGTCTATTCGGGATGTAACAAGAGCATGAACCACCGTGGTAATTATGATGTTGTTGTTTGTTGTTTGCATTTTCGGTTTGCGTTTTCGGTTTTACTCTGTTGTAATATGTTGTTTGGGCTTGG